TTTCAGTACAAATCGGCAATTTCATACTTTAACCCCTATTACTTATATATATATAAACATATGAGTATATATATATATATATATATATAATATACATCAATCATTTTAAAAATGTACTCCTTTACAAACTACCTTTGACAATTCGTAAAACGTGTTTTTTTCTTAAAAAAATTTTATTAATTTACGTGCTTAAAGGATGGACCATTTGCACAAGTGGACAGATCGGGAAAGTAGACGAAATGGGAAATGAACGAATCGGGATCAGGAAAGTAGACGAATAGTGAAAGTGGATCGACCGGAAAAATAGACCAAACGGGAAAGTCGACCAAATGGACCGATCGGGAACATAGACGAATCGTGAAAGGGCACCGATCGTGAAAGCACAATTGCAGAGCAATTGTACTGAAGGGGAAGAGGGCATGGAGAGACTACATCAGAGACATGTTTGCGGATCCTTCAAGGAGGCTCCCAGTTCTTACTCAAAATAGAGCTGTTCCTCCTATTTTAAAATCGGAAGTTTTAAGGGCACTAAGAACAGCCAAAACGGAAATCTCCTGGGCCTGTATCGTTTCAGATGGCACATCAACACGCCCGAGGGACCGTATCAGTTTCACGTGTATTTGTCTTTAGTCATGTAAGTAACAAGCCCGCATTCTACATACCCCAAATTAAAGTCCTCTCAATTTTTACTGACTGAATTAAATATTCTTACATAATTGACGAGTTTCAAAATTGACAAGTTGACGAAAATGGCGTATTAACGAAAATGGTCGCCTAATTCCTATATGCACCCTGGGGTGCTCAGCCAGGGCACTAGCCTTTTGAGAATCGGATGAAGCCTGTGTAAAAGACTGATTTGAGATCAGGATCTGATTGAGAAATTAATTACCTGTGTGGGATTAGTGTTAATAGTGCCCTTTCCGTATAATCAAGATGTTGATAGGGAGGGGCACTATAAACAAAACTTAAGTAATGAGATATGGGACTGACCCGCTACAAGTATCTAAATATTGAATCAAAGTATCATCAGAAACGTTGCTCTTGACTGTGATCTTTAGGCAAATAAGTCTTTAGTCACTACCTTTTCTATAACGCATATGGTTTGATGCTTGGAGAATTCAAACTTTATTTCATCCACCCAAACAATCAATAGACCTATCGTCAACTTAACCAGGGATATTTTACGTTGTTTTCTACTTACATCACACTGTTTCTGTTGTTGAACTAACAGCCCAAACCTCGCCATGGTCTGGTGGCTGTTTCTCGTACATCTGAAATAACCAGTGTTCGAAATTATCAAGATGTTCATATACTTTCCTAATTATCATCAGAGTTATCTGATGATTATTCGATGTATTATATCTGATAATTATCCTTACTGATCTATACTTTTGGCTCTTTTATATTTGTCTGCAAATGACAAACCGTGACAAAATTAAATAAATTACACGAAGGGAAATCGTTGGGCTCGATTTGAGGTTTGTGACTTTTTTGAGATTTACTTTTGACTCGTTTGATTTCGTCTCTGAAACAAACACCAAGATCAATATGATAATTGTAAATGATAATTATGATCATTTCGAACACTGGCAATAACGTACAATTATTCGCCATGATTTAGTTTTGTAAATGCTTGTCATTCCGTAACCATGTAGCTGCTTGCATCTAAATCTAATTTAGCATCCAAACAATCACTGCAATCTGGTTTTGACATAGCGTCTAGTGTCATTTGAACACTGGAGTTTCGTATCTCCACATCTAAATTAGCATCTAAACAATCGTTATAATCTGGTTCTGGCGATGCATCTAATTCTGTTTTTACCACATAGCTGCTTGTGTCCGCATCTGACGTATTATCCAAACAATCGTTATAATCTGGTTTATTCATGTCGTCCAATTCCATTTGAGTCGTTTAACTGTATGTTTTCACAGCTGAAATAGTATCCAAATAATGCTGCTGTCTGATACTATCAATGAATACGCTCCTGTTTGAGTCATATAGCTCCACATCTGACCTAGCATCAAAAAAATCGCCATAATCTAGTTTTTTGACTGCGTCTAATTTTATTTTGGCCATATAGCTATCTGTCTCCACATTTGTTGACTTACTAACCAAACAACTGCTAGAATCTTTTGTCATTACGTTTAATTAAATTTGAGCCGTGTAGCTCATTGTCTCCATATTTAAGTTAACATCGAAACAAATCTTGACCATATCATGTGGCTATTTTTGACCATTCCAACAATCGTTGTCGCTCAATTTTACGAATGCATTTGGTCCATTTTGGGCTACGTTACTGCTTATATCCACCTCCAAATTAGAATTCAAATAGTTCTATAATCTGAGTCATGTATCTGCTTGTTTCCACATTAACTGAATTATTATTCAAACTCTCACAATAATCGGATTTTATTTGTCCATCTAGTCCTATTGGAGCCATACAACTGCATGTTTCCACATCCGAATAATTATCATTAAAAGACTCGTAATAATCGACTTTTGTTAATGCATCTACTTCTATTTGAGCCATATAACGATTTGTCACTATATCTGAATTAGTATTCAAATAATCGCCATAATTCGGTACAGTTAATGCTTCTAGTTCTGTTTGAGCCATCATTTGGTTGTCTTTACATCTGAATTGGTGTTAAAATAATCGCCATAATTGGGTTTTATAATTGCATCTAATTTGATTTTATCCACGAAACTTCTTGTGTCCACATCGGATTAGTATCCAAGTAATCGCTGTAATCTGATTTTGTCAAATGTCCCTATAGCTATTTGTCCTCACATTTGATTTAGCATCTAAATAATCACAGTAATCTGATTTTGTTGCGAGTAATTCTGTATTGGCTACATAGTTGTTTGCCTTCACATCTGAATTACCATCTAAACAATCGTCACAATCTGATTTTTGTCATTGCGTCTGATTTGATTTCAGCCATGTCGCTCTTAGTCTCCGAATCACCATTATCGGGTTCTGTCAGTGCATCTGAGTTTATGTGAGTTGGGCATGTCTCTGAAACTGTGTAGACGTACGTTTCATGTAATTCAATTTTGTGCTAGCATCAGATTCTATGTTTGTCATGTGTAATCTTGTTCCCTCGATTTCATTATCGCCTTTATTTAAACAGATATCATCCGAATCTTTCAATTTATTCAGTATACTTAACAATTCTGGACGATTAGGTCCAGAAGAATGGCAATAATTAACTTCTGATCCCATTTCTTCTGCATTAAAATATTTCGGCTGTAACGCAGAACCTATTACTTTTAAAGTATTGACTCGAGAATGCGTTGTTTTTGTCACAGTTTGATGATAAATACATTCAAATTGACCAGTGGAAGCATTTGGATCGTTAGCACGATCGATTACAACTGAGAAAAGAAACAATTCGTAAATAGGAATATTCACAAAAGTAAAAATTTATTAGTTGTTTTATTACTAAATCGAAAACCGCACTAATTAGGTCGAAATAGTCCACAATTAAGTCTATTCAGACGTCTAAGTTTAGTAACTAAGGAAGAGGTCTGAATTCAATGATAAGTTGGATGTTGGTTGATGCAGGCATTTCAAGGGGCGGTAGCCTCCTTCTGCAACGATATACGAAGATCCTTCCTACCATCCTATATACCTGTGACGCAAGCGGCTGGCCTAAGCCCGCCAACTGCCGCCCTGACGGCAAAAACTAGGCGTCTAAAACGGGCGATTTCCTCACCTAATAATGGTGGGTAACCGCAGACGTGGCCGTGGGAAATACACCACGTTACAATAGCACCGTCTTATGTGGAGTATGGGACTAATATACTTGTTTAGTGCTAAAAAGTTCATTCATAAATGATTTTGGCCTAAATTTTTAGGGACACGAAGTGCGACGTTTGTTGCTAAAGCTTGTTATCAAATACTAAATTTCATCAAGATAATAAACATATTCGACACGACACCTTTAATAATATCAGCTACGACTTGTGGACAAATGTTTGCTGTAACTTCTGACGTGGGACCCAAATCAGGACGCGTGTTGATTTCAATTAACCAAGGTGTGAAATCGTTGTCAAGTATGAAATCACAACCGAACAGCTCGAAGCGGTTGTTTGAAGTGGCCAAAGAATGTTGGCTACTTAACATTATTCCTATAATTGCTTTTCTCATACTGGGGTATACAACATTATCCCACACATTCTGTTTTCCGATTTCGTTTAAGTAGCATTTGTATTTATATAAATTCCACATATTGCTATTTGGAAGTTCAGGGTGTCGTTCAGCACTATTTTTATAATGTTTTTGAACTGAGTGGTTAGTGAGATGTATGGCTTTGTGTAAGTTATTGAGAGTATATGTTTTTGAACTAAATTTCAAATAACAATCTTTGTACATCCAAATTACTAATGGGTATGTACTTGTCACTAAATAATGTTGCCTTATATCAAATTTCGTATCATAAATCAACAACGGTTTTTCTGAAAAAAAAAAACATAACTAGTAATAATGGAACGACAAAACAGATAATAACAAATTTGGTTATATCGTAAACGCTTTTCTTACCAATATACTTTTGAACAACGTATTTTTGGTTAGTTTTATTTATAATATCCATAATACAGTCCAATTTTGAAGAAATTACTATACCTCTACCTCTTGAGTACTCTGATGGTTTGACAATCCAAATATTATAAAAACCCTCACAATTTAGCTGCGGTCGGTACTTCAGAATGCAGTCTAGTAAATATTTAGCACAATGAAGCAAATAGAATACACTTCGGCCTATACCAATCTGGAATAAATCTTTACCATCAACCAAAGAACGGTATTCCTTCAAGAAGGTGTCCCACTCTTCTTTGGCAACTTTATTGATTATATTACTATCAATATCTTTATGTTCTTTCATATAAATAAACTCTTTGCACCGATTTATTGCAAAAACAATTACATTCATAGAAATACTTCCAGTTTCGTGAAATACAGGTTTGTTATTTTGTAAACTCTCTATTATCCATCTTAACAAGCTTGTACACGCAGTCAGGTGGTAATCTTTTATAAAATCTTTTTTTTCATAGTTATTTGCATTGCTAAATGTCCTAGGTGCAATAACGTCAGCTACATTATCTATATAATGCCAATAGCAATTTTTCAGGGACAAAAAAATTCCATACTTTGTGCACCAATCATTTACTACTTCCAATCTATTTCTTATAGGGCATATAGTTTTTGGTTTTTTTTTAACTGCTTTCATGGATGTTATTTCCTTGGAACTATTTGTACCCCAAATGAAATTTGCATTGTATTTTTGAAGAAAATTGGATAAAAATGATTGTTCAGGTCTTTTCCATATGTTATAATATCTTTTATTTCGAGGTACCTTTTCAAACCAACCACGTTCAATCAAAGCTCTCCTCACAGCTTTCGAACCTTGTCCATAAACAGTAAACACCTTTCTACTTTTCACAGCTTCTATTGCTTTAAATTTAACACACGAGTGGTGGTGCTTCTTCTGTAAGTCGCTACAAAAAATTATTTCTTTTTATCTATGTATTCTTGATGTGAAACTATTAGTTCTACATTTTACAAAAAAAAAAACTTATTTATTCAATGTCGTCATTTGCTATAAAAGAACTTACTTTAAGTAGTTTTCATTGCTGATATATGGACTAACTTCATTTCTGCAAGACATTTTTCTCTGCAAACAGATGTTAATTCAGAAATTTATAAAAGATAATGCAAATATTCGTTGCGTGTCGAACTCTCCTTCATACACAGTGTCAGGCATATACTGGTTTCATTTTGCATTGCAAGGCGTGTTATTTGACAGGCTTACGAGGGAACAAATTCTTCTGTAAATAAAGTCGCCGCGCGTTTCAACGTGTGAGGGTTCGGCCGCCGTGCATTTCTGTCCGTCAGGGTTCATATGAACTCGTACCTTACGAAAATACCCGCACCCGGAACGCTTCCGTGGCCGCCTCTGTGTGGCCAGAGCATTAAAGCGATGCCACACGATGTTTGCGCTGGCGTTACGACAGCCTGAGCGGTGACGCTACGTTAAAACGGCTACTAATCGACGGAACGCTAGCGCATCGGACAAGAGACCAGGAGACAAAGCAGGGAGGGGTGCTGCAGTGTATAAGTAAGCAGGGCGTTACGTTGGGATACAATATTGCTCGGGTGACACTCGATGCGTTGAAATCGTAGCGTTGCGACTACGCACCGCACGTGACACAAATACTTCCATAAGTCATCCGCCTGTTTTAAAAAATCAACAAAGTCTCTCCAAAGGTAATCACGTACTACAATTACTGGGTAGATGTTAAATATGAATGTAATCAACTTTCAATGGCTCAGAAAAACCAAAAAAGATGGATGATTTGAACGAAAAATGTAACATAAAGTTAGAAGGAACAACAGGATAACCGGTGACACACATGAAGAGATAAAGAAAACATTGCGTCTACTCCAAATAAAGGGGAAGTGTAGAAGGATAATGACTACAAAGTGACTTATAGAATTGATGACATTGGATAGAACAGGAGGAATTGGATTTTGATGGATTAAAGAGGATTTATCTTTCGAAGAGAATATGTGAATCTTTTTGTAGATAGATAAAAAATAAATAGTTAAGTATCTAATTTTTTATTACAATAGGAAAGCTTGAGTTACCTGTTTGTAAACCTCCTGTTTGGAAACCTGCATATTTGCTATTTGTTCACTTGAAATGTTTGAATTGTATTTCTACATATTTTTGAGGTGTCTGTTTCTGTTGTTTGGGTTTGGGTTCAGGCCTTATTTTTTTCCATCCTCTAAGGTTGTTCTTCTTCTTCTCTTAAATGCTATGACTCCATCGAACCCCTAAGGTTTAGGCTGGGTTTTGAGTTTGACATGTTTGTTAGTTTTTTTTACATAAATTTTTCACCTATTTATTGAAGTAGGCAAAGATTCCACCATACATCCGAGTGTCATTCTTAATTTCGAATAACACTATTTCGGCTCCAGAGTTACTTCGACTGCACATTAATTCGACGAAACACTATTTCGACAAAATATATTTTCGACATGTCACTAGTCCGACAAACACCGAAAGAAACCTACTTCGGCAACACGTGTATATTGGACAGGTCACTATTCCGACAGAACATGAAATATTTAATATAAACATTTGCTGTATATACACTACTTAGGGACCACTTCAAAAATCCCGTAATGATCCGTGAAATATCCCGTAGACATAAATATGTCTAAGAAATAATTAATAAATAGTTAAGCAGTTATTTGTCGATTTCATTTTCTGCCGGAATAGTGACCTATCGAATACTTACAGGCAAGATCGAATATATGTATTGTCGAAGTAGTTTCCTGTCGGACTAGTGACCTGTCGAACATGTATTTCGGCGAAGTAGTGTTTCGTGGAATTAAGGTGTAGTTGAAGTATTGTCGGGTCGAAATAGTGTTATTCTAAATTAAGCGTGACACCCATTGACTTACAATTATATGGACGTCGGGTCCGCGCTAAAAAGTGTCCGCACTTGTAAAGCGCTAAAATCGTATACAGAGCGCCAAACTCCGCTTTAGTCTTCATTTGTTCGACTGACAGCGCGATACTGCGATGACATTACAATTTAAATTTCGAATAGGTTGACTTGGGACATTTTTTTCGTGGTTTTTGTATTAGACCCGTCGTCCATTTATTTGTAAGTCAATGGTGACACCCCATACATCCTCCGTCCATCTATTAATATCTTTCCTTGTTTTAATGAAAAAATGTATGACGTAGTGTTTTGTTTTCATTTAATTTTTTGAAAGACGGTAATTTCATTGTAGTTGTAAGGAGCGCGTGTGCGTGTGTGAAGCGAAACATGAAACACCTTTTTCGCTCTTATTACATGAAATAAAGCTTTTTCTAAAAATTGTATTATGGACATTTATACTACCGGTAATCAAGCCCGGGACCTCCGCGTTCAGCGTCCGCACTGCAAACGATTGAGCCACCGAGGTCGTCATGGAACAAAAGTTGTAGCATAGTCCTGCGATGTCGACAGTGCTTTTCAAATGCCCTCGTATTGTGTAATGGATTATTCTATGCAAGGATAAATAGAAGACGAGGGAAATAATATTTTTCAGAGACGAAAAACTTACTTTGTGATGTAGGTAGGGTCATTAAAACAAAGAAATATCGATTATACTTTAATTCTTCAATAATACTCAGCGTAAATCAGCAATAAGCAAGGACATAATACGTAATAGACAATGGACTTCAAATAAACGTACAAGTGTAATACCTTAGGGGCCAACTTCTACCAAACTGGAGCGGTACCAATGTTCCAGCTACCAATAGTATTTTGTTACTTTGACACCACCACTCTAGGTACCGTTTAATTTAGTTATTGGTACTAAAACATAGACCTTCTTCGGTTCAGTTTAGTAAACAAAGGACCCTCAATCTGTAGGTATATAATACCAATCCTATCATCCAAAGTCCACTAACAGGTTCTTGCCTTATTGCTTATTAAAAAAACAAACAATCTAATGGCGCATTTAAACCAAGTCGTCAGGCGACCTTTGCTTGTCCACCGAAGGCGGCAAACTAACCGGTGTAAACAGTAAATCGTTTGATGACGATAGTTTGCAGCCGAAGTCGACACTGAAGTAACTCGGTGAGTCGCCTTCGGCAAGCTGACGTGGTCTACCGAAGCTCGAAGGCGGCAGACGACTCGGTGTAAATGGCGAATCGACTGCGTTGCCTTCGGCAAACTACCCTTCGGCAGGCAAAGTAGTCTGCCGAAGCTCGGCAGACGACCCGGTGTATATTCGCCACAACATCAATTAATTAAATATTTGCATTTTTTATGGATTTTTCTGTTGCAATAGACAATAAATTTCTGTGACAAAGCTATGTAGCTTCGCAAAATGCGGAACAGCTAATATTTAATTGTATTTTTTTCTCTTATAACCCCGAATTTAAGCACGATTTTGCGCCTTAATGGCCGTGGCAGTTGGCATGGTTTGTAATAAGTTCGAGAGAGTACTCCCCCCGCGTCCCGCGAACTTTAGGTGGATTAAACTTGACGGTCAAGCTATAGTAAAGATAAATCAATAGCTTGGGTGTCCAGTCTAAGGTGGGCGTAGTACTTTTAAGACCTACCTGATCGTTAAGCGATTTCAGCTGCTCGTATACAGTACCTGTAGCGATATTAAAGAAGTATTTACATCACTGATTTATTTATACTGTTGGCCGTGAGACACAAGTCTGCTTGCGATTGCGCTGTCTGGTCTTACCCTTTACTTTCGAGCACCTTTCGACGGTCTCACCGAATAAACGTTGAAAGGAAAAAAGCTAAATTTACAGAAGCGATCAAAAACTAAAAAATAATATAACTTATTGGTCTTTAGTTGTACTTAAAATACAAAGTATGATCAAATCAAAGATAAAAAACATTATATTTTATATTAAAATATGAAACACCAAAATATTGACAGTTTATCAGAAATTAATAAAAAACCCATTTAAATTTTTATTCCAGTAAAAATTACTTTGGCGGAAAGCGGGAGAACACCTACGACATGCGAAAGCGAACCTAATGTTCATTTAAAAATAAAGCTTTCACTCAACAAAGATGACATTTTTTGGATTCTAAACCACACAAAATTTCAAGAAAATCACAACTATAGTAGTAAATATAATATAACCACAGTGTAAAGTAAAAATTGATATGTGCCGGTTGCAACATTTGACATTGATGCTCCGGTCAGTAGTCAATTTCAACAAGTCAAGAGTTTGTTGAGTGGCACTCGCGCATTTCTTATTCTTCATTAAATTATTTGTCTTAAAACTATACGCATCTTTGTCTAAGTCATCTATAGAATCATAGCAAAGGTCTGATACTGTTTGTGATGCCAAAGTGCTCTGTTTTTCTGCGATAACATTTTGATGGTCTTTATAATGTGGTTGGTTAAGTACATCTGGTTCAGATAATGCTGTTTTGCCATGATTATATTCTGTTTCAGTTTTTGTCTCAAGGAGGGTCTCATCTTCTTCCGAGATAACATCGCAATAACCTATTTGTTTTACCACGCGAGATTCATAAAATAGTTTGTCATCCATAAAATAGGGCTTTGTTTTAGAATGTGCTGTTACTTGGCAACACTGCAAATCACGAACGTGTCCACTTTGATCAATAAAATCTGTAATAAAGTTTTAATTTGAAATTATTATAATTAGAGTCGTTAGAGCGAGTCGTTGGAGGAGAAGCGAGAGAAACTGTTTCGCTAAATCAAGTGGTGTAAGTATTTACTATAAAATAACAGTGCTACAAAAAATATACGATACACCTATTATTTATTGTCTAAAGAATGTACTAATTTGTTATTCGATCATATAAAATGCTGAAAACAGGCTCAAACAAAAGTCAAACTAAAAGAATAAAATATCACATAATTTTTGTATGGAGATATTTCTCTTTAATTACTACAGAGAACCCGCTAAATTTCGGTTTTCAATTAAAGCCCTGCAGTTATTAAATTCACATTTGTCCGAATATTTGCAAATTGCCAAGCGGCTTAACGACACGCCGCGCCGCCCGGTGCCCCATCAGACGCGGGCGGACTATCGGGCGCTTGTCGACGTCGGATCTATGTCAAATATATTCGGCCTGCTCTTGTTTTATTCGCAGCGGTTGAAATACTTCGCCTTAATATTTCACGTTGTCGTAAGGCTATTTATTTGCTTGTTCGATAAAGTTTCTAAAATTATTCTTTAACTTTTTTTAAATGAAGTAAAACGTAAAGAAAGAAGCTGCGGTAAACCCTACTTAAAGACAAAGTTGTATAGTACACATACATACAGGACTGTATTAACAGCATAATACCGAAAAATAATGCAACTCATCCGTAGAACAAAGGCCTATGTCTAAGTACATTTCGTTCATTGTGTTGGTATCAAATTGACAGTTGTTGATTTTATACTTCCGAAACGAAAGAAGACATAACAATTCTGAAAACACCTGTCAATTGGCATTATTTTGAAAAATGAGATTACGTATTTATCATATTTTCGTTGAATAATCACATCAGACTCTGTTCTTCGGATGAGTCGATTACGCATCTCATGAATCCTACTACCTTACTGATCGGTCGGGTTAGCATCGGATCATGTAATGTGATAAGGATCCTCATGTTCTTAATTATTATAAAGATCCTATCATAAAGAAATTTTCAGGGCCCCTGTTATGTTGCTAAATCTACACAAGAGACCTATCGGAATTAGAGTTGCTGCGGATATCACATTCATCGATGCTAATTCCATTGTGGATGTTCGAGTCATGACATGACCTTAAATCACGCTGGAATAATTTACAAACCTTCTAGAAACACACTGTAAGCCAAAAAAGCAGCTCAGCTGTTGTTTTTCAAATATAACTTTGATAAAATTTCACAACGATTCAACTAGGCAGATTGATTGTTTTCGCCAGATTGATTGTTTTCGCGAAGTTTCATTCTTTTGTTAATAAATGTCACAAAATCATAGCAATAATATTTCTATCTACACACATATCATAAACCCTCTAAGGTTGTACTCAAAAACCGCAAATTACGACCAGAATAAAGATAAAATGTTTTCTTAGAACAAATTTCTAATGATTTCTTAGAACAAATTTCTTATCTGTGAAAATGTTATTATTGCATAATAATAACATCAAATTCGATATAATTATTACATTCAAATTTCGAAACATTTCTGAAAAACAAAACAATTTGATTCGACCTCAATTCTAATGTCAGTCGAAATGAAGTTTTATTCGAAATGAAATGTCATAGCAAACAATTTTGACAACTCTCACACTTTACTTGTATCGAACGATATGATAGTTGGGGCCGACTCTAGTTTGTCAATGAATTAAAAAAAAAGTACGGTTGCGTGACATGAAGTTTTTTGCATTGTTCTCCTTAATCTGTCAATAAATGGATGTCGGGTTCGCGCTAAAAAGTGTCCGCACCTATAGGGCGTTAAAATCTAAAGTTTGTTCGACTGACAGCGCGGTTGTCAATCATGCAGTACCATGTAATAATAACTTGTAAAAATTATACAGCAGTAAAGTGTAAAAACAGGATTTTGTATCATATTTTCACTGAACAAATATGTTGTGTTATCATAGTTATCATTTAAAAGTGTTATTATGTACAGTTTTATAGTTATTTAATTTATTAAATTAAATTTATATATAAATTAATCGTAATATAAATTACACAAGCACACAAAATAATCAAATAGCTAATTGTCCTTTTTCTACACATTGCATGCGCGAAAGATGGAACGAGACCCATTACGTCATTTCCAAGAAACTTATATAAACTTCTTGGTCATTTTCAATTGTTCGAACCACAAGCGATTGAAATATTTAGAACAAAGAAACTATAGAGTCGCTTTGATTTTCATCTTTTTTTTTTAAATATTTTTTTATTAAACGTTAGCAATAACTAACAAAATATTGTTGTAGTCGTTTTACGGCTTGGGATTACCTATCAGAAGTCAGAAAATACATTTGCCCGAAATAACGTTAGCTCGAATTTTTATTTCATCATCTCTAATGTATTTTTTAGGAAGATTACAAAACAAAAGCTAATTTTGTCTTTGTGAAAAGCATCAACATTACTCGAAAGCGTAACGGTTTTATTATAAATCGGTCTTCGGAATTACGGATATTTGAGTTTACGTTTAGTTCGAATATCACATTTGTAGTAATATTTGTATGTATGTATCTGCCCAACTCTTTATTATTCCTTTAAGTGAATTTGTACAAAAATCGACATAATAATATATATAAAAATTAATTAATATTTACGATAAAGGCTACTCCATTACTCTTGTGTTCAAGTAATTTCCAGTAGAAGCTAAATATGGTGTTTTTTGGGCCCTTAAATTGTTGCAAGCAAAATTAGGCAGTATTACAATGACGGTACAATTTAAATTAAATGTTTTAATTTTTTATATTTCGTTACATGTCACTACGTTTTTTTCGAAGTCCATTTGTTGGTAGGTTAATGATTATTTTACTAATAATTACTGCTGATAGCTCTGATCAATGCCGCAATGTCGGTCTTAACATGGGGTTCCTGAACACATCATAAAGAGCTTATAATATGTGTATAGATAGAGCAGTGTATGTTACTGGACATAAATAATAATTTAGGCAGTAAAACACTCGTGTGATGTTTTCATGAAACTTGCCCGTCGGCTCGTTTCATAAACCCACACTCACACTCGTATTTTAATACCTTTTATTATGTAATAGTCACATAAACTACTATATTACAATACCAAAGAAAACAGAATGTTTTTTCATATAGATAGATTCAGTGAGGATGTACATTTTTCATATTTTTTAATGCATAAAATCAGTATCGGCATAAGCACCTGCTGATGTTAAGGTAAAAAAATCAGCAAGTAAGAAATCTGCATTAGCAACAACTAAAGAATCCGATACCGAGAATATCGGAAGCTGCCTTGAAAAACTACACATACCTTTCTCAGACTCAACTTGCCTCCCAGTAGTAACTGAATTAGACTTTTGTGTACATTTCTTGTCCTTTTCAAAGTTAAAGTGAATTGTACCGTCGGAGTCGTTAGTGACTTCATCATAAATGAAATTTGGATATGAAATACTATCAAGAAAATGTGATAAGTTTGACAAAAGTAAATTGGTTAGCTCTTGTGTATAATTTGAATTCTCATCATAAATTTTATGGTCATTAACATTATACTCATCGCTTTTATGTTCAACAACTCCTTCATTTAATGCTGATATAATTAAACCGTCAACTTCCATTTTGCTATCTATGGTAATATTGTAGTCTGAACTACGGTATTTTTTTCTTTTATTCGGTGTATTGTTTTGTCTGTTTTTTCTCTTAGTTTTCAATGGGGGTTTTTCTACTTTAGTGTCGCTGAAACTGATTAATTTCTTCCTCTTTTTGGAGGAAAGTTTTTTAGGATAAATCAAGGACGGTTTTTCAAAAGCCGTTTCTGATATTTTTGTTAGATCGTCTTCATTAAATTTGTTAACAGGAGAAAACGTTTCTTGTTCTTCTATTTTTTCCTTGTTGTCACTTTGATCATTATACTGGTTATTATTATTGATGTTACTTAAAGCTGAAATAAGTAATCTGTCGAGAACTCGATGTTCTATACCTTGGATCATATCTTGTTCCGAATCAAATTCACATTTCATGTTTGTCGGCTCGTTCAAAGTTACAGCATCATCAGGATTTTTGTAGGACTCCGCTACATTGACACTTTCGTGTGGCAAAACATCATTTTTACAAACACGGAATGAACTTTTTTTCATATTTGTGGGTGATTCTGTTTGTGCGTTGCCACTATAGCTGTTGACAAGAGTTAAGACGTTCGTATCACATATTTCTTTGTCTTCCGGGTACAAGTATTTACTAACATGTTTTATATTTTGCTTCATTGATGTTACTTTTCTAGAGCGTATATGATCGATATCACTCGTTTGCTTAGCAAACTGTTTACTTATTATGCGAGGCAATTTTTTCAGACCCCTGTTTTTCTTTTTTGTCAATTGGTTTCTTGTTTTAATCTTATTGTTCAGGACAACATCAGCATGCCGATTCCCTTCGTCTAGTTCGTTACCAACTTCAAGTCTTCTACCTGAAGTGGAAGAAAGTAAACCATCTACATCTTTATCAAGATTTTTCTTGCTTAAATCATGTTCAACTGTACTTTTTGATCTTGTATTTTTATTCATTTTCTTTTTATTCATAACTCTGCCTGGCTGCAAACCGTTCCATTTTGCTTTATCGTCCCCACAATTATGAACATGTTTCTGTAACGATAAAATTATCAGGCATACTTTTTTCTACAGGTACTTGTTCGTTTATTTTCTTTCACTAACTTAGGTCTTAGTTATCCCTGCTTTCCAAGAATATTGGCCCAAATGGAAAACCAAATCGTTTTAGTGTGTATTACGCAATTACTCCGACATGTGTGAACCGATTTTGATAATTATTTTATGTTGATAAGGAGGTCTTAATTAAAAAAGCGGTCTTATTCAAATTTGAAGAAAATATTCCATTTCTAAGGGTTTTCAATTAGGAGACAAATCCAGTTTATTTAGGTTTCACCTAGTTCCCGTTAATCTATTTTAATAAAACTTGGCCAATATATGTAGTTCCACAAACTTTTGAGATCGATTATTTTTATAAAAAAGTTATAAATAGTTAGATTGTAATAATGACGAATTAGAAGTTTTTCAAATAGGCCGCTATTTTAGGAAGCCATCGATGTCAAGCTTGTCCACATATTTTCCCTGGCCAGCAGGTTAAGCTCCGCTGCATACGCAGTCCGCAGAATACGTGAGCTTACCGATGTTAGTACTGCTAGACTAGTTTACTTTAGTTACTTCCATAGTATAATGTCCTACGGGATTCTCATGTGGGGTAAAGCGGTAGATATTCAAACCATATTTGTATTGCAAAAACGAGCGATTCGTTCTGTGTACCGTCTAGGCTCTCGGGTTTCTCTCAGAGAAAAGTTTAAGGAGACTGGTATCATGACTGTGGCATCACAGTACATTTACTCAAATATTTTATATGCTTGTAAAAATATACATAATTTCAATAAGAAAGAAGATATCCATAATATTAACCTTAGAGCTAAGTCCAAACTCATGGTACCACGATTTCGTTTAACCAAGGTAAACAACTCTTTTATGGGGAACTGTATACGTTTTTACAATAAAATTCCGGAGCATGTATTAAGTTTATCATTTCCTAAGTTTAAAAACTACATTAAAAATATTTTGATCGAAAAATCATATTACAAAATTGAAGACTACGTGTTACATAAAGATGTATGGAAAGACGACATGGCTCCAGAATCCACACAAATTTGATTCCAAGTGTATTCCATAGCATTTAAGTTTATTTGAAAAGAGCAATCCCTAGAGTTTCTTGCTCGTTCTTCTCAGGGCGGTCAGCGTAGTGAACGAGCAGTAGCTTAAATGTGACGATTTCAAGTGTAAATTTATTTTACCTATGGAATAAATAATCTTTGACTTTGACTTTGCTTTTACGTTCCTTATTTTGTGATTGACTCACCCGACAGCAAGTTGAGGTCGATGTTTTCATCTGTTTTGATCTGTATTTCTTATTTGTACGAAGGTTTCCAATTGTATACGAATTCTGGCACTTTGCTGGCATTTGCCAAGATTTTGAATAGAAGAATTTTGCTGTAAATACAAAATGCAATTAATCAGGAAGTTATTGAGGCTACCTTGTCGCTAATGATATGTATTTATATAAATATTCGTAAACGATTCTTTGATGCACCTGACAAAGGCTTGACCTGCCGCTTCTAAAGTAGAGGACGTGGGATCAAATTCGATCTTTCAGTTTTTCGTAAATTATGTGCGTTAAGTTTGAAATTTACCAAGACTTTTTCGGTGCAAACAAACATCATGCTCAGTGGGACTAATTAGGCTAATTACTAATATCGCTAGTATCATAGTATAATAAGACAAGCATGGTATACAAAAGTTGCAAATTGCCCAGCGGTTTAACGACACGCCACGCCGCGCCGCCCGCTTCCCCATCAGTCGTCATCGGGCGCTTGCCACCGTTGCAGCTGTGTCAAATTTTCTTCGCCTGTTCTTGCTTTATTCAGATTAATTTCAAAGCGCACGGACGACGTGACGCAAGATACGATACCCACACCTAGCCTAAAGTCTAGGCTCGCTTTGACTCCGCCTTAATGTTTCACAGTTGTTGTAAGGATCATCAGCTGATGGGAGCGGAGCTTCCAAGTATAAATCATGGGTGTATAACCAAAACGGAAGAGTTTACGATATATCCTCACAAACCTCATTACACTTATACACCCTGACAAAAGCACCAATCAACCACATAATTAATACCAGCATCCCTTCATAAAAACTGCCAAAGAAATTGCATGAAGAATTTAAAGAAGCATTATCGTCAATAGAAAGCAAGATACAAGAAACCAAAGACAATGAGATTTTGCCAGACACTATATCGTTTCATGACATCCATATTTATGTATATTAGGAATAATTGTGGCGATTGGTATGACAGTTTTGGTACGGCGCTTTTCACACAAATGGTGCTGTACTCTGTGAGAGCAGAATGGCAATAAAAACAAGGAGGAGATCAAGAAGCATTTTTTTATACAAACGTAAGTGCGCATTTCACCTCCATCTCACCCGATGGAAAGTGACGATGAGGTCGACGATGGAGCATGCACACCTAAATAATGCCTATTCACTCTCGCCTTGAAAAAGTCCAAGTTATAACGTTCAGGCAAGGAATTCCACTCCATAGCCGATCGCTATATGAATGTGGAAACGTAACGCTTCGTGCGAAGCTTTGGAATATCCACAACATACATGGTGGAATCAAAGCCTATGTCTAGTCTCCCGATGATGGAAAGGAGAAGGCGGAATTAAATACCGTAATTCTTTCTCACACTCTCCATGATTTATCCTGTAAAATACTGATAAATTGGCAATTCTACGGAGGCCTTTAAGGCTCTGCAGCTTCGCCTCTACTAATACCGAGTCACCTATAAGCCTTTCGGCGCGCTTTTCTATTGAATCCAAGGTGGTTAGTTGATACGTAGCAGAGCCATCCCAAAAGTGGCAGCAGTACTCCATATACGAGCGGACTTGTGCTTGATACAGCTGAAGCAACTGTTCCGGTGTGAAGTAACGCCTCACCCTGGAAAGTACCCCAAGACGCACTGGCCCACACTGTGCACACTTTCAGTACCAGGAATAAATCGACAAGTCCCAGAAGTATCATGAAAATATCACGACATGTTAAATTCTGAACTTGCTTAATCGATAAAATTATTTTTTTTTAGTTTACTTTTTTTATGTTGAGTGTGTGCGTTAGTTTACAAAATAAATATAATTTTAAGATCAACAAGGATTCGTTATTTGTCACCATCATTATCAAGATAGTTTGTGTAATAAGATCAAGATACGAACATTTAGTACCTATGTTTGAGAATTTCATTTCGCGGTATTTATTAAGCTGTTTCGCTTACAAAATAACGGAATGGAATGGCGCCTAAAAAACCCAAAAAAGTATTAGGCACAAGATTCAACAATGTTTCTAGTTTGCAATCGTCTGGCTGAGTGAAATTCAGTCTAATAAATGATATTATTAAAATGATAGAAATAAAAAAACATTATTTCTTGAACACGTCAGCGTGAAAAATTAAACTTTGAGTTAATTAATACTAATGTAGAGTGTCTAATTAAGTAGTTATAAATTCTACCCATTGACGTAACTATATGCCTCCACGCCCATCTTAAATAAATAAAACACGCTTTAAAAGTTTTTTAAAACTTTAAAATTTTTACCAATCGCTCGGATCAGGGGATCTACTGTCGTTCCCTGTTGAACATCCATCCGAAATATTACTGTCAAAGAAGTAGGGTAATTCCTTAATTTTTTTCCATACGACGAAATTAAAAGACAACATAAATTATGAAGTTTCTTTCGCATAATTTATTTGACAGTAATTGTTTCGGACGGATGTAGGAAAACGAGAGTACAGGGCCAGCATCAGATCATGTAATAATATAATAAGAATCCTTACGGTTAATAAGTATCCTCGCGACCTTAATTATTTAATCCTGTCATGAAGAAATATCCAGGGCTTCTATAATGTTGCTGAATCTACGCACGAGACCCTTTAAAAATCGGAAACTCCTTTTAAAAAACTACACATACCTTTATCCTTTGCCTTCATCGCCTCAACTTGCCTCCCAGTAGTTACTGAATTAGACTTTCGTGTATATTTCTTGTCCTCTTTAATGTTAAGGTTAATTGTAGCGTCGGAGTCGTCGGTGATTTTATCATAGATAAAATTTGCATTTGAAATGCTATCAATGTAAGGTGACGAGTTTGACATAAGTGAATAGGTTAGCTCTTTTGTATCTTTTGTGTTCAAATCATAAGCGTTATGATGATCAAAATTGTCATCATAAACATTATACTCATAGATATTATTTTCAACAACTCCTTCATTTAATGCTGATATAATTAGTCTATCTGTTTCTATTAGTTCTCTATCTGAACTACGGTATTTTTTTCTTTTTTTCGGTATATTGTTTTTTCCGTTTTTTCTCTTAGTTTTTAGTGTGGCTTTTTTTACTTTAGTATAGCTGGAACTGACTGGTTTCCTGTATTTGGAAGAGAATTTATTATGGTTAATTAACGGTGGTTTTTTTGAAGTCATTTCTGATATTTCATTAATTTTGTTAACAGGAGAAAATGTTTCGTGTTCTTCTATTTCGTCCTTGTTGTAACTTTGATCAGTATACTGGTTATTATTGTTGATGTTACCCAAAGCTGAAATAAGTAATCTGTCGAGAACTCGGTGTTCTATACCTTGGATCATATCTTGTTCTGAATCAAATTCACATTTCATTTTTGGCGAACCGATCAAAGTTACAGTTTCGTCAGGATTTTTGTAGGGTTGTGTTATATAGACACTTTCTTGTGGCGAAATATCATCTTCACAAACATGGAATACACTTTTTGTCTTATTTGTGGATGATTCCTTTTGTGCGTTGTCACTTAAGCTGTTGATAAGACTTAAGAAGTTCGTTGCATATATTTCTGTGCCTTCAAGGTCCAAGTATTTTCTAACGTGTTTTTTATTTTGCTTCATTGATGTTACTTTTCTAGAGTGACTACGGCCGATATCACTCTTTTGCTTAGCAAACTGTTTATGTTTTCTGAG